TATTTAAAAAAAACAACCAAGTTAACAAAAACACACAACATATCAAGTCAAATATCTAACTTTTTCCCCATGTAATTCCATTTCTATTACGACTTGTTCAAAAAATGAATGTGCAGTGTTTGCCAAGTGTTTATATTTGGCATCGTGTTGACAAAAGCCAGTGCTCTCATTATCTGCTCTTGGTTTCATTTATTTCCTCTCCCACAATCTGAGCGCCGCCGTCAAAATAATCTCCGCTGTCAGTGTCTTTATCCAGAGTCGGACGAGGTCGACAGGCGCAAACCCTCTATCGTGTTGTTTACCACATTATCAAAGCAGTGAAAAAACATTTATTTGAATATCTGGGCTAAACCATTGACCGTGGAAGGGGCGGTGGACCGTGGACTAAATGAGCGCAGACGTCATTTTAGCGTCTGCTTTTTCCTGGAAGAAGACACTTAGAGCTAAACTGGCTTTAAGGCCGGTAAAATTGAGCCAAAATCGGGAATAGCAACGAATTAGCAACCAACGAGCCAAGCAGGAGTGACGTTGGTCTGTCCCAACCATAGATTGTAAATAGATCGACAATGCTCATCCCCTAGCTCGATGAAGCCCAATAGGGAAGTGCTCATGGATGAAGTTTTGCTCCAACTCCCTCAGGTTTTATCTGGTTTTATTTTAGATCAAAAAATGGTATACATTTGTCAGCTGAAAAATCTAATTTCTTTGCAGGATGTTTTTTGTTTTGAAGGGCTTTAATAATGGCATCCTTAATAATATCACTACATTTTATAAATCGTAAATGGAACAATAAACATTAATGACGATAATACAGTGTTTGTGTAGAGTCTGTGTTTTCTGCTTTGAGATAATGCTGCAGATGAATTGCCCTTTGGGATCAATAAAGTTTTCTGAATCTGAAGCAAATGCAAAACTTCCCCATAATATTGTAATGGGGTCTTTCTTCTTTCACCACATTTCAGTAACGCCAATCCTTAAACTATAGGGTTAGGATTTTCTTTTTAGCTCTAATACTAGTTACCACTAATAGTTCTGCGTAATGGCCATGTTTTATTTATTCAATTAACCTTCACTTACATAATACATTTAAAATTCCATATTCTGCAGCCCTCGCGTATAAATCACATGTTTTTTCTCAGCTCAGGTCAGCCGATTCTCATGACCCCAAGAGACATGGAGACAAGGCGACGTTCTCCTTGTGTAAAACATCTCATACAAGTGGCCTATTTATGTCCGCCATGCATCACGTTAAACATATGAGCAGGGAAAAGCTGCAAATGCTGAGATTTATGTGGAAAAGGAAGGGAATTATCAAGAGGACGTTCAGGGCTTTCAGTGTCTATGGCTTTTTATTGGAGAGAAGTGGTGGAAAGAGCGTGTAAATGTAAAGATAAAACAGAGGAATACTAGAATGTGGAAAATGTATGAGATGGGATGTGTTTTTGAGCTCGAAAAATGCAAATTGCAAAACTCAAGCCGGTCTCTTTCAGTATGATTTACATGTTTATATGGGCATAAGCAAGCGTCCTAAAATAAAAATCGAAAACAACCTTTCATCTGCAGACCACATAGGAAGTACTTCTTCATAGACTTCTTTTCGTATCCTCCAGGGAGAACATGACAGTCCAAGTTCAATTCCTGGTAAATTCAGCATAAAAAAAGAAAGTTGTATAAGATATTGATATTTTTCGTAATTCTCGTAATTCCTGTGATTCATTTTCAACCAAAACTCCTCACGTTTGCCGTCATTGTGCCACCGTCCTTCATCAAACTTCATTGTGTTTTTATTTTGCGCCGTTTCTCAATTGGATCTGGCTTCCTGAGAGCCGAGTCCTTTCATCTGTTCGCAGCAGCTGATAGGAATCAGACTCAGGCAAAACGGGATCTTTGTACGACAAAGCCTCCTGGCTGGTTTATTCACAAAATGGTTGTTAATTTCAGGCAGAACAAAAGACACAGATACATTATATATGGAAATCTACGTCATCATAGAAAAGGCCAAACCTTCGGCACCAAATAGCCTAAACAACGAAAGTCTCTGTGGTCCTTGAGACCTCCACAAGGCCAGGTTATTAATACTATTTTGTCTTGCATTTGTCCACCTGTGCAGTACATAGGTCACTGTTTACCACACAGCGTTGGACCTTGAGATATGTTTGTCAAACCGTTTCAGAAGTTTAATAGTCGTGTCAGTTCATTAATTAAACATTCTTTTACTTTACCCCTGTTTTGCTGAAGCTTTGATCTATGCTTAGTCTGTTTCCAAATAAAGGAGCTAGTCGGCGCCGGTTTACTTGTTTTGCAGTTTTACATCCACAAGTCGTTGGCCGCATATGGACCAATGTATTTATTATTGTTGCATTTCCTGTTTGAACAGTTTAATTCTCTGATCTATTTTTGAGAAATTGTGATTTAGGGCTAAACAAAAATGCATTGAATGAATGAACGAATGTTTTGTCCAAAGGGAACTAGATTAGGTCTAGTTAAAGTGAATTTTAAAACCCTAAAATGGTTCGTCCTTATGACAAATCTCATCTTAAAGCTGTCTAGGTAATTAATAATAGGTAAAAAATGTTTTGGTTCAAACATTTATTACTTTGTATTTCATTATTTTTTTGCCAGGGATGTGTGTTCTGGGCAAAAACATCCCAAAACATATTCAATCTAAATGTTTGATTACTCTTTTTCTTATTGTTATTTGTTGCACCTTTGCATACAGACAGGGATTTAAACCAAACATGAATGAAGAGGTGAACACACATCCCGTCTTTCTCCAAGTAGCAGATTTGGAGAAAGAACAAAACCTCTTCAACTCCATGATTAGTGTGTCTCAATATTGTTTCTAATTTTTCAAGTAGAAATTGTTACATTCATAAGTACTTTACTTTCATAAGTATATTTACTTTCATACAGAATTGTGTATCTATTTACTTTGTGTTGGTTGTGTAGTCAGGGGGCATCAGGAGATGGTGTTTGGTGCTCACCTCAGTTGTCGTGCGGTTCTTAATCGAGAAATGTATTTTATAAACTTAATTTTATACTTGCATGCGTACCTGCGTAGCAGTTAGGTACATGCCTGGGTATTGTTACAAAATGTATTTACTACTTTATTTACAATTTTTATATGCTCAAAATGGAGGGGGAAGAAGAAAACCCCACCCAATATAAATTGTAAAGTTTTGGAAAAGTTTCTTTTTTAGGTTTTTGACAAAGCTCTATTAAAAAAACAAAAAACATTGTTCCAAGTTTACTTATTCCAAATAGAGAGACATATTTATGTAATGTAAGCAAACAGCTATTTCAAAACCTTTTATTCATCTGTTCATATTTTGGCCTGTGTGATGTACCGCTCCCATCTCTGATCCATGAGCCTAAAAATGAAAATGTTTCATTTGATGCTGTGAAAACGGCGCCTGGAGCAGAGGCTTGTTGACCAAGATGGTGTCAGAGGAAACAGCGTGATGTTGTGAGACTCAATACACTTCAAAACATCAACACTTTATTTTGCTCTAGATTCTGCCTGCAGCAGATGCAACACCTCATAAAGACTCTCATAATAGCAACAATTGGAAAAAATATCCCACTCAATAATGTTGTGCGGTCTGCTAAGCAGGCAATCTCTTGTGAAATGGTTAGCAATATACATAATCTGTGGGTCAACTTGCATGAGCAGAAAAATGCTATGCTTTTTGTTATTAATCCTTTTACTGGATATTTTGGATTGTAATATTAATTTTAAATTGTACATTTTTCTCTGTAAGTTCCTTCCTTTCCACTGGGGGGAATCACGGAGCGTCAATGGACCTTCAGCTGTTTAATAAAAGTCTTTTATACCCACATATAGATTACAGTAAACACACAAAGTTTGATTACGTTTATAATCTTCTTGGTTGGACGTGTGTAGCAGATATGACATCACACACTGCAATATAAACAAAGTCTGTTGCTCGTCCCATTTTCTCTGCGGTTCTGGAACGCTGAATGTTGTATGAATGTTTAAAATACTGGCTTTTGTTGTGCGCAAATTGTCTTTGAATTCAATCCTGTTGTTGGAGGGTTTCCATTTTAGAACTCGGTACAATGCGTCCCAATTGTGTTCAGAGGTTGGAACTCGGAGTTCTGAGTTGGAAGCGTGTTTGAGTTGACAATCAAATACACTCAATATAATAAAAGCTTGTCAAGTGCTCAGATCAGACAGAATCTATTAGCGCTGATTATTGTGTTAGCAACATTATGCTGTTTTGCTAACGGGTGCAATTTAAAACTGCAGAGGCTGAACTGCTGGGCACAGACTGCAATTGAACTGTAGAGAGACTAAAGAATCATTTTCTCAGATTTGGAATTAGAGATTTGAGTAAGAAGGTGGTATTATCTTATAGTTGGAACCCAGACATTCTGACGTCAAAGTACACCTGGAACAAACAACGAGAGAGGACTCCTGGAACGAGCTAAAACTTGAATCTTGAATATTTTTTCCCCTTTTAATTTTTTTTCTTTGCCTTAAAACTGTTTCCATGTTCTCGCCAACAACCTCAAAGATGCAGTCAGTGTTATTTTTCCAGACGCATTTTTTAAAATATTGTGGGAAAACGTCCCTAAACCCTAAAAGTATCAAGTAATCATGTGTTTTCAAATAGTTTTGGAATTGACAAGATGCCTATAGTCTCCAAAAATTAATCTCCAAATATTTTGGAGCAGACCAATAAAATTAAACCAATGGGATTCGTTCGTCTTCAATGAACCAATGGGATGCGTTTACCCCCTTCCTGTTTCTCGCGAGTGCACCGGAGTTATCTGACTTTCTAAAACCTAAAAGGGCTGAACAGAAAATGCCAATTTCACATTTGCCGCCCACTCTCCCTGTTCTGACAAAGAAAAGAAAATGCTGGATGTTTGGTTTGGTGGGGAGGGGAGGGGGGGGAGTGGTTTGGAGTTGGTGCTACGGCTAAGCTAACAACATCGCTAACTGCACCTTTAACCTCTCCATCCTCTCCTTCCAGGCTCGGACCTGCAGGTGTGCCAGAGCAAGGGTTTGTCGTGCTGCTCCCGGAAGATGGAGGAGCGATACCATGCGGCCGCGAGGAGCAACATGGAGTCCGGGTTGCAGGCGGTGGGCGCGCAACTCAAACGTCTCATCATCCAGAACGCCGCCATCTTTCAAGGTAAGCACATCACGCCTCCTCTCTGCACAATCTGCGCACCGCGAGTCACAGGAGCGCGCGCCAACAAGCGGAAGGTAATTAACAAGCAGAATGTCAGCAGGATTTCAGAGTGAAGTCAGTGAGAGTAATGCGGACAGACAGCGCTGAGGCCGCGCCCAGCGTTTGTCTCGGTCACAGTTTTGAAGGTTTCTCATGATTGTCGTTGTTTTAAACTATTATCTTTGGATCTCTATTCTCTTGGCTTTACAATACCGAGAACCTTTTTCTACATATTTCATACGTCTTTCATTTCTAGTTTGGTGCTGACCTGAACAAAACTAAAAATATAGATACAATATAGATAATGATCTTTTCACACTGTTTTAGAAACCCTTTGCTTTTGACTATTTAGTATTTTGACAATTATATTTTTCATGAAAGGACTTTGCATGGGCAATACTTTTTTTGTTTGAATAGAAATTTTAATTATAATGATAACGCATTGGTTTTATATAGCTGTTTTATTCACTCACTGTATTCACGGTAATAATAAACTACTACTGTAGCCACAGCTGCCCTAGGGCACATCGACACTTTACAGCCGTAGTTGCCCCTCTGTGTTGTGGCTGTAAACTACCACTGATGCTTGTTCTCAATTGATCATTGTTCCCTGATATTTTTCTTGCATTTGAGCCTTATTTGTTATGTTTTTATATCTATTTCTTTCTTCATTGCTTTGATCTTTCACAAATGCATACACAGTGTGAATTCTATAGAGCCAACAGCTGTGAGATCTGAGAATACTGATTAATGTGATAATCAGAAAATACTGTCATGTCAGGTGTCAGATATTGAGTCAGTGGTAAATAACACAATGTCATGTCTGCGTGTGTGTGAGGAGGAGGTTCAGACGAGAGGCCTTTACCCATTGACCTGACATGTTGCAATGACACATAGTGTGTATATATTTATATATTATACCTCATTATAACGAATTACAGAAATATCCATCCATCCATTCCATCCATTTTCTTCCCCTTAATCCATTTCTGGGTCGGGGGGATGGCCAGAGATGCCACCCAGTCCACAGAGCACCAGCCCCTCACTGATCCTCCTGCAGGTGGTGAGTCCACAGGAGCTGAGATCTTTCAGTGGGAGCTTCAAGCAAAGTGGGGTTAAGTGTCTTGCCTAAGGACACAACGACAGCAGTCATCAGTGGGAGTCGTGAAGTTGGTCTTACGGTGGGCTTGAACCCACGAATTACAGATATATTTCTGTAATATATTACAGAAATATATCAATTAATATAATTATTTATTACACAGCTCCTCACAGCAGCAGTAAAATGCTCCATTGATTTGAATGTAATTTCAAAACGTTCTACCGGTCATTATTTTTTATAACGGACCTCTCAAAACAATAATGACCGCTGCCCATGGCAACGCACTCTCTACTTGTCTTTCAGATGCGTGGATAACTCCGCAAGTAGTTCCGGCCACTCCGGAGCTAGCCACGCTCAATAAATGCAAATACCAATCAATCAACACACTTAAATGTTAATCTGAGAATACTTTATACATATACATTCTTCACACACGTGCACAGAGATTTTCAGAATTTACTGCTCTTGTCTCCATGACAAAAATACTATGTATCTGCGTCAAAAAGTGATCATGAAAAACCCGGAAGTAGTTCCAGCCACTCCAGAGCTTAGCCACGCTCATTAAACGCAAATGCCAATCAATCAACGCCATTAAATGTAAATCGGAGAGTACATTATACATATACATTCTTAATACAAGTGCTCGGAAGTTTTCAGAATTTTCCGTTTACGTTTTTATGACAAAAACACTGATGTAATGCGAGAAAAGGCGATCCCGAAAAACCCGGAAGTAGATATGGGCACATTTTAAGATACCGGCACATTTTAGGACACATTTGCAGAGGATCGAATTATGGATTTAGGTTAGGTTTATGTTTGGGTCACTCACCGCTGATGTTCAGAATTCTTTGTTCAGTTTTCATGCAGTTCCAGAGAGTTCTAGTTTGGAAGTTGATAGCCTAACTGTTACTAGCATAGCCACAGGAAAACCTTTGGGAACTATTTTATTTCATTTCTTATTTTGAATAAACCTTTCGGCATTCCTAAAAGTGGACTGAAGTTTATGTTGTGTGTTCTGTTGGTATAAAGCCGTGTAATAAGCGGGATAACGTATAGTACGCAGGTCATTATCGGAAAATAAGTACAGACAGGGCGGCCGCCCTGATGACCTGCGTACTATACGTTATCCCTTACATAAAATAATATAAAAAGTGGTGTAACCGTATGGTGAATAATATATATATTAGGGTTTACTTTTAGGGTTTCTGCAGTTGCCCATTGCAGACAATCACTTCTGTCTGTATAGGGTATATATGTTCATGTAGGTATCAATGTATGTTTTTTGTATAATATGTAAATACTGTAAATTTCTATGATCGATTCCTGAAATGGCTTGAAATAAACAAATACATGAAATAATCTAAAATCGGCCGTTTAAATCAGGAATTGTCAAATGTTGAAACAATATTGGTATTGGCTACAGAAAACCCTTATTGGTCGACCTCGAGTTCAGATGTTTTTGTGTAAAAGCTCAGGAGGCTCCACACAAAGAACTGAAGCTCAGAGGAGAAGAGGTGTGAGCACTTTGTGAAGAATAGTTCTTTTTTTTTTTTTTAGCACTCAGAAAAGCTTTTATTACAGCTGTAAAAGTGTGATCCAGGGCAGTGGTCAGATACTTTTGCCTTGGCTCGGCTCAAGACACGTTTTTGTGTTGCTCTTTTACTTTCTTTATTTAACAAAGAAAGCCTCATCGCAGACGTTGTCTTTTATTTGCTTTTAGTTGCCCATTTCAGACATCCACTTCTGTTTATATATGTTATTATTATGTTAAAGCTCCAATTAAAAGTAAACATGTTGCCAAAAAAGGGTTAGTTGTTCGAGTTAATACCTACATTTTTGCTTGCCAATCAGCCGATAAAAACTTTCACCTTAGCCTCATACAGACAAACAGATGTATACATTTTTTATTTTTTATTTAGTTGCTGTGGAAACCAATGGAGATTACGACCCTAGTGGTGAATCTGAAGCTGATGACGTAGAGAGAATGTCCGGCTGTTTAGGTGGTGATGGGGAGGACGAGGGTTGTGACACGAGCTGAAAAGTACCATTCAAATGCAGCAAAGTGATAGCTGACTGACTTAAGTGCAATAGTGTTCGGGTCTGAACTTAATCTATATCTGCATTTGTAACAGCAGGTGCAGAGAGTGTAAACGAACAGGCACAATATATAATTCAATTAGGTTGAATTTAACTTGATTTTAGTACATCAAGACCTGCATTTAGTCGGTTAAAAACAACTTACCAATGGGAAAAGCAAATTCTCTCATGGATTGGGGAAAATAAACCAGATCCATTGGCAAATGGATCTGTTGTTTCAATGGAGTCAAAATGTACTTGAATCAACATGTGTAGGTATTTTATTTGATCAGTTTTTGCAGTGCACTGACCCTCCATGATGACATTTGTCCTTTCTCTTTTAGCCTTTTTATATATGCTTTATATATGCTTTTTAACTGTTTAATTGGCTTTAATGGATTTATGGGATTTTATTGTAAAGCACTTTGGTCGCCTTGAGTGTTGTAAAGGGAAGGGTTGTAAAGCTCTATGATAAGATTGATTGTTTGATTGATAGTCAGGTCCTGTCTCCTCTGCCCTTTGTGTGTCTCGATCTCTCAATCCGTTCAGTCTTGTGTGTCTTCCACTGTGTGCGTTGTAATCTAAATAAGACCTTGTTCTGCTGCCACTTAACAAACTGTTGTACATGTGCCATAACCATGTGCCATAACCATGTGCATACTATCATCTTACCTGTAAACAGACTTGGACAGACATCTTTTCACGTTCCATGAAGCCGCCGCCAGTGCAGGATCATGTATCAACATCCTGTCGCAGTCTGCAGTGTACTCAAAGTTTGATGGCCTTAACAGATTGTATTTTACATTCTTTGCAATAATCATGCTATTAATAATCCTGCTCAGTCTAGCGTGGAGCGAGTGAAGACGCAGCGAAACTCATATCTGCATAGAATTCTCCTCTTACGTCCATGTAAATGCGTGAACGTACACAATTATCTCAAAGCTGATCTGCGATGCTGTCCTTGATTTAAAATAGAGATATGTTTTCCCGTTTATTTTGAGTTAAAATTTGGCTATTTAACTTAGATTTAGCGGAGAAAATGTCCCTAGAAATCTGTGTCCTAAAGATATTCAGTCCGACATGCACTTGTATGATACTGTATGTGTGTTTTGTCCTCATTCGGCCTTGATGCGCGCCATTGTTTCTTTTAATTTAATGACAGATTGTAGTTCTTCGTAGCAGTTTAGTTTTACGGTCTGTATTTGACGGTGGCTCGTACCTTCTGTGTAATTTTCTTCAGGAGAACGGCAGCAGAGACACATCTGTGAACAGTGTCCTTGTGAAGAGGCGCGTATTACTGACTCTGCTGCTGCTGCTGCAAGGAATACACAATCATACAGATGTTTTTCCATAATGCTTTAATGTAGCAAGCATTTTTATATAATTAGAACAACCGGATCAGTAAAACCATCTGAAGTTAGTTTCTGTCCTGTTTGTTTATCTGTGTGAGTGTGTGTGTTTGAGATAAAAAGAAATTGTTAACTTTAAAGGTTGTTTCCAAATTGGTCGCTAACCCAACCAAATAAATAAATACCATAATTAACTTTATGGCTTTACAAGAATTGTGCTCAGTATATTACAAATTAGGTTGCAATATTTTACATACAGTGGGGCAAAAAAGTATTTAGTCAGCCACCGATTGTGCAAGTTCTCCCACTTACCAGGTTTGCACACACTGTAGCTGGTATTTTGGCCCATTCCTCCATGCAGATCTTCTCGAGAGCAGCAACACAGACTTTCAACTTCCTCCACAGATTTTCAATGGGGTTGAGGTCAGGAGACTGGCTAGGCCACTCCAGGACTTTCAAATGCTTCTTACGGAGCCACTCTTTCGTTGCCCGGGCGGTGTGTTTGGGATCATTGTCATGCTGGAAGACCCAGCCACGTTTCATCTTC